GTCACCTGCTCATCAGTTCTGTACCGAGGACATCAGCAGACGTTGGTTCCTTTCAGCCCCACAGGACTGACTCACTGCTGCTTTATTGTCTTCCTCGGTGCAAAGATTCTTCATCATCAAAGACGGCTTCTTGCTCTACTATGCAGAGAGCGAGAAGAAAAACTTTGAGACCAACAGGTACTTCAACATCCACCCGAAGGTGAGCCACTTCTCTGACCCCTCGTTTAGAAAGCGAAGAACACGACAGCTGAAGCTTTTCACACATTTTTGATTTGACATGAACATCTTGTTGTCTTTTTGCTGCTATATAAACAAAAGGTGTGTACCCGAGTTAATAAAGACAGGGTGATGTGTTTCTGTCTCAGGGAGTCATCCCCTTGGGAGGATGTGTGGTGTCAGCTAACGAGGACATGGGGATGCCCTTTGCCATCGTGATCAACCTGGAAGATTTCACTGTAAGAACACATTTACTAGAGTTCTCCAGCTCCATTTAGTTTGCCTTACTGAGGGTAAAAGAGCAGAGTCACCGCTGACAGCTAACAGAGCCTCTGTCTTCCTACATTGTACATCTGTAGCTGTAATGGTGTTGAGAAATCAGTCTAATGCTGCAACAAACAGGATGCAGTGGAGTGAATGAACCTGCACAGCCGAGATGCATCGGGTTTTCTTTTGTCAGCAGCTTAATTGTTTCACAGCCTGAGCACATGATGGATGAGATGCTGATGTAACATCCTGTTTTGTGTCCATCCTGCAGGGCACCATAGTCCTGGCTGCTGAGTCTGAGGAGGAGCAGGTGCAGTGGTTGGAGATGCTCCAGGAGTCAGGGAAAGTGTGAGTCATGCTCATTTTCAGTGAATTACACCAAGTTAAGTGCACAGCTTTAATGTGATTGTAGCATCGTTCTTGTTTGTTCAGAGTTAAACAGTTGGAGTGTTGCCAACAGGGAACCAGAGTTTACGACATACACAGATAAATTCAATTCACTGCATTATTTATTCAGATGATGCAAAGAAGGTTTGGCAGTGTTGTCTGTCAGCTACAGGTTTTATAATAATGGGAAGCAGTTTTTACACTCACTGTGATTTAATTTACTAATCACCACTGAGCAGTGTTGTTAAAACGCCTGTGCTCGACCCGCAGCACGTGGAAGAACGCCCTCCTGGGGAAGGCCATAATCGAGAGCCTGGAGGCCCAAGGGCTGCAGCTGACCAAGGAGAAGCAGGTGTATCTGGGTAAACATGGGGAAGGTCACATGACAAAATACTAAGCTTTTCAAATGTTTAACAAGCAAAGTCAGGTGATGTGTGGCTTTTTTTTCCCCTCCAGATAAACTGATGGAAGAGACAGAAGAGCTGAGTCATCAGCGAGCACAGAAGGAGGTGAGACTCGTCCACATCACAGCAAGGGATGGTTCAGAAGAAAAAGATTTGAACTTGTATTAAATTATTATTATTGATTATGGATGCAGAAATGTCTAACCTAAAGTCAGCACACACACCTCAGATTTCATTCTCAGCTTCTTGTTACTTTTATCATTTTAGTGATAATTTAATAACCGACCAACCAACCATTCTAGTTTTATCTCAAAATAATGTATAAAAATAATTTCCTTTCCTGAGAACGCTTCTTTCAAAATTCAACTCAAATGTCTTAAATGTATGTCACAATTTTAAGGGTTTGTGTTGCAAGAATTAAAATGACAGGGGCTTGTCAGTTGGAGGGGGGTGGTGGGGCAGCCACGGCCCCCCCGGCCCCCCCTCGCAGAGAGCAGCCCAAGGTGAAATTTTTTTTATTTTTTTTTATAAGTCTTGTTTTGTTCTTCCACGTGCTGCGGGTTGAGCACAGGCTGTTTTAACAAAACTGCTCAGTGGTGATTAGTAAATTAAACCATAGTGAGGTGTAAAAACTGCTTTCAACACCCAATGAAATTTGGTTTCTAATGACATAAACCTGAAAAGCAGCTAATCTTCATATTTGAGAAGCTGAGGATGCTTGAAAATAGTTTGGTAGAAAAATGACTCCCAAATTAGCACCAAAATAACTGCTCAGTAATTTTTGGTCAAACAATTAGATGATGGATTTGTTGTTTCAGTTTTACTCGTACATTGTTGCTGAGTGTTTCTAGGTATTTAAATAAATATCACACTGTCCTTGTAAAGCACTTAAATTCTTCATTCAGTTATGTTGCTCTGCAGTGAAACTGAGCACGTTTCTTCACTTCACCAAAATGTGTGTGTGTGTGTGTCGAACTGAGCACGTTTCTTCACTTCACCAAAGTGTGTGTGTCGGTCTGTGTGTAGGAGCTGGAGCGTCTAAACCAGGTCCTGGAGGAGGAGAAAACGAAGTTTGAGGAGGTGCTGCTGGAGTTGAAGGCAGAGCAGGAGCAGATCAAAGTGTAAAGAAAAAACAACCAACTATTATTTTGTTCATTTTTTACCAGTACTGATGCTGCTGAATAAACCAGTAAAGAAATGTTTTGCGTTGTGTGTTGACGACAGAGACCTGGACGGCACAGCTCAGTCCCTGAAAGGTGTTGAGAGTGAAAAAGAAGAGCTGAGCAACTTGACAGTCAGGCTGCAGAAATCCATTGAGGTACGAAGAACAATGTACAGCCAAATAAAAGCCATGCGTCACTTCCCCACACCCCACGTTGGGTGTGCAGAGCGGTGGCACAGAGTCATCGCACAATAAATTGGACACTGAATAAATTTACTATGTTGGGAATTTACAGCTCTGTGGGGAAAAGCACTGGATTCTGACTTTATAATTAGAAGGAAGGGCAACAGTTTGACATTTTGGTAAATGTGCTTATTTGCTTTCTTGCTGAGGGATAATGACACAGAAGTATTTTACACTTTGGTTTTTGTTAATATTAAGCAAACAAGATATAAAGTGCTATTTAACTTAACGGGCTGGTAGGTAGATCCAACGGTTTCCCTAGCAACGCTAACCTGCTGCTGGCTGTAGCTTCTTACATAACAGGATTGGTATTGAACTTCTTATTTGACTGTCAACAAGAAATTGAATAACAGCAACATATGACTTTTAAATATCTGAATATTAATATTAACATCTGTGGCTAAGCAGAAACTTTTATTTTCCTTTATTGTCTTAATCATAAATGCTTTTCCATTTTCACATGTTCTTTTAGCTGCATAGCCAGTAAGTGGACCTTGAGTTAAGATTTGAAACCCACTTCCTGTTGATGTAATTAATTATGAAATATTACTGCATTGTACATAAATTTTTGAAGCTCAAATCCTGTCAGACTGAGATTCAGCAGAGTCTAACTCAGTCTTTTCCTGCAGGAGCTTTCTCAGGAGAAACGGCGAACCCTGGAGCTGCTGGGTGTGAAGGAGCGGGTGGAGGAGAGCTGCAGGAAGGGCAAAGACGGCGAGGAGCTTGGAGACGTCGACCCGCTGCAGGACC